AACTAAAGCAGTACTATAGTTAAAAACTACCAACACTGAGGACCCTCGACTGTCGGCTCTCGCGCCCAGTCAACGAGGAGAAACGTCTGACCCCGTAGAAAGGCCAAGGTACGGGCCCGACCTACGTCCAAATTGCATAACATGGTTCAAGTAAGAACAAGGATAATGCCCGACGTGGACACCTCTACCGAGCTCCACCGTCGAAGTACCTATAAGGCAGAACACCCAGCTCGCAATGGGCAGTTCACACCAAGGGCAAATAGTCCCGACCGGGCCACGTACCCGACCGAGCGACTTCGCTCCGTCTGCTCGACAAATCTTCAAGAATGTCGGGCCATCTAAAAGGGTCAAAAAGGAGTCTCTCCCCTCGAGTTCACCACTTAGGTGACTCTGGCCATCGAGAAGAGGCCGAGCACATACACAAACAAAAGACAGGCAAATTTGCCAGCAAAATCACAACCACTTACGGGCACTCCTCGGGCCCATAACTTAGGCAAATTTTTGCGCAAAATCATAAAACACAAGCACGGGCACACAATCAAAATTGAAACAACGCATTCATTCAAAAATGCCCGTAGGCAACAAAGCAAATAAGATGTAAACCGACCAAAAAGGCCGGCAATATTCAGGAATACAAATAACGGGCGCGCAGGCCCAAAAGAATGTGAATGGCCACGCAGGCCCAAAACAAACATCAACGAGGCACGCAGGCCTCACCACTATCTCACACTTCGGCTTCCCCCGAGCTACCATCACCAACAACAGGAGAGTCGGGTGGAGGCACGACCTGACCATCGATAATCTGCGACATATGGCTCACCCCTTCAGTGTTCAGGCCGGGATTTAATAAGGAAAGTTGGCTGACCGCGGCTTCGAAGCCGTCCGCCATAGCTCTGACACAGTCCCCTCGAGAAGTTGAATACGATCGACCAGTTCCGATCGACTCCTCAGAAGAGCTGTGTCCTCCGATTCATCCTCGGCAGGAAGCATAGCAGCCTTTAGGTCCTCGACCTCCCTGGCAAGGCGCCCGTTGTCGAGTTCCAGTCGTTCACGATCCGCACGAAGAAGGTCCCTCTCCTCGGCCAGTTTCCCCGAGCCCTCTCTCTCTAGAGTCAGCGCCTCTGTCTCCACCACCAGCAGCTCAGCTTGCTCGCGGAACATCTCCTCGGAGCGCTCCAGGGCAGCTTTCAGTTTTCTCGAAGTCGAGGTGAGGGCAGCTTTCTCCTGCTCAAACTCCTTGACACGGTCGGCATCCTCCCCCTCCTCGGCCAGTACAACGGCCATTTCGACCATCTTCACCAGCCCGGCCATGTTGGCGGCCAGGTGTCTTCTCCGGCTTTCCTTGTTCATCCGGCGGATGGTTTCAGCTTCGTCGGGATTCACAGACAAAGGAAACCCCTCGAAGAAACCCTCCTCCTTAAAGCAAGGGGGCAACCCGAAGGACCTCACAGCACTGGAGTCCTCGCCGACTTCCGGCTGACTTTCCACCCGATTCCTTTTTCTCTGTATCAGGTCGGTGTGTGGCTCGACCTCCTGAACATCCGGAGTCCCTCCTGAAGCAGCCCCCGAGCTAGGTGGCGAGTCCACCCTCGTCGCCTGAGATATGCCTGGGCTATGTGGCAGGCCCATCCTCGTCGCCTGAGGAAGTCTCACCACCCTCTTGTTCACCTTCCTATCACAAGACAACTTCAAGAGCCTCTCCCTTCGCCCAGCCATCGAACCTGCACGAAAGAACCCGGGTTAGTGCCGAGCAAATAGGCAAACAAGTAACAAGTAAAGAAATTCAAAACAATAAACGACCTAGCAAACGCGCGGCCTGCCCAAAGGTCTGGCACTCCACGAGTGCCTTCGTGTCAATCGGCCGAGCCTCGAAGGTCGGATAACCTTCATCGTCCAGAATATCCTCCCCCTCCCTCGTGGCCCATCTGGCGGGGTGGAAGCTATCAACATACCGACAAAGAGTATCGTAAGCCTTCTCGTCTTCGGAACTCATATCGCCCGCGGACGTATGGTAATATCCTGTACCGTGCTCGTAATGCCTCGAGATCCAATGCACGGGAAATTTGGCCGTGCGTCCCAACACCGGACGTCCTTCACCGTCCAAAAGGGCCTCCCCGTCATCCTCGGTTATGACCGCTTCCTCCTCATACACGGACTCCAAACCTGTTGTGGTAACCGGCCTCACCATATACCACTTGTCTTTAAAACCCCGCACGGAGTCCATGTACATCCTGAAAAGTCTCTTCGACTGTTTCAGGGAAACCCAGCTATGCTTTCCTCCCCGGGATTGCCGCTGTAGGTGGAAGACCCTGAAAAAGAGGGGTATGGTCGCCCCAATCCTCAGAAAACGACATGTCAGCTCAAACGCCTGGATAAACGCGAGCAAATTGGGGTGAAGCTGCGACGGGGCCAGCCCCAGGTGGCTGAAGACCCCGACCTGGAAATCACTGAAGGGAAGCTGTAACCCAAGGTCTTTAAAGGCAATCTCATACATAGGGAAACTGTACTCGGGGAACACCGAGCAAATTCGGGCAGTGAAAGATGGCCGAGTGACCATGAAATTCTTCTGGAAACCGGGCTGGTCGTGGCCCGCCTCAAGGATAGTGTACGCCCTTCGGCTACGTCGACTGTAGACCGAAGCTATCCCTCTAGGTTCGGCACCCACCCAGTCCAGCAGAGGGTCCTCTACGGTGTCAACCAAACTCACATTCTCGTCGGCACTTTGCTCTTCCACCTCGGGCCGTCCTGAAGAGCACGGTTCGTCCGCCATGGTTACCTACAAAGCACGGGAAACCAATCAATTGGGCGCGAAACCATACGCTCGCCATAACGGACGAGATGAAGGGCACGACAAACCACGTCGCTCCACGCGCGACTGCAAAGTTGGTGTTTTGGAACAAAAAATAGCAACCATCTCCCCGACTCCCAGATACCTCGACAGGTCCTCCTACAAGTCGCCTAAATAGACCGACAACTCGGTCACTCATGAATACGTCGACCTAGGGCATGAACATAGCGAGCAAAATCATAAAGCCTAGAGCTAGAGCTATGAGTCTACCAGGCACGATCATGAATTAGGCGCCCTGGATCATGAAGACCCCGGGCAGCATTGCAGATTCAAACCTAAACTATGTATTTACCGGGCACAAGCATGCGCATGCCAGACATACGTATGGATCCGTCGAGCTACATATGAATCTACCGGGCTAATCCCAAGCGTACAGCCTCTAAATGTCTAAAAACGATGAAAAATCATGCATCACAACAGAAAAATAAATGAGACAAGTCACTTACTTGGAATCAAGAAGGAGATTTGACGACGGAGGAAAGGAATCAGCGGCGGAGATCGCGGCGGTCCTATAAGAATCTGGAAGAACAGCAACAGCAGAAATAGAGTGAAGAGGAGAGGCGCGAAGAGTGGAAACATGTTCTGGGTCCCAAGGACCTTATTTATAGTGATGACGTGGAATACCAAACGTCACCTCGGACAACCACGGATTCCCCTCCTCGACGCACAGCTCCCCTAGGCAATGATGACCCTATCCTCATAGGGAGGCGACAAAGTTCCCAAAAGAGACCTCGCGTGCTCGACAGACGCAGGCTGTCAAGAAAACCCCGAGCATTCCTCGCGGGGAACCTGTCCACGAGCACGATACGGGGAAACCCTCGAGTACCCCACGAGGAGCGACATCTCTTGCCCGGATACGGGGCCCCGAAACGGAAGCAACCTAAGATCAAGTCATGGCTCCTAACTCAAGGAACCACGACTTGGGGGGCTCCTGTTCTGGACTAGGCCGGGCTGGCCCAATAGCAACGATAAAGGCCCAATCCAAACGGACTTGCTAGGGGTCACGCCGACCTAAGGACCATAGCTATGCCCGACATATGTCTCTGGGCGACATCCCCGTCCTCGTGTGACTCCAGCTCGACCTCAGCTCGAGCACTTCTTCAGCAGGGGACACGGTCCACTGCACTCTCAACGGGGCCCCGAAAAGACCGCGTCCTTGTCCGCCCACACTTCACGCAGGATATCCAGGAAGGGGACCACGTGTGGGTCCCCACTACGCACGTAGAACTTGGCAGTTCCTCCATTGGGCCAAACCTGCCCGGCCCAATGAAGGAACCTTGGCCCAGCGCTGGGGGCTATAAATACCCTCTGTTTCCAGAGGGTCAGATATTCATTCTATCACATATACTCACATTTTGCCTGCTCGTACTCTTACTTACTTCAGCATCGGAGTGCCTTGCAGGTACCCCCCCCCCCCCCCACCTCGTTCAAAACTTCAGCTCGGAGCCAGCCGTGACGGTCCAAGTCTGATCAAGTCAGATCAGATATGATAGTAAATTTTACTTTGATTATACATAAAATAAATATAAAATAATTATATTTAACTGACTTTCTTAATCTGTGTAAAAGTAGTTATTTTGTCTTAGAATTGTGACCGAAAGAAGTATAATTTAAAGAAAAATATTTTAAAAAAAATTTAAGTATTATGAATTAACAAAATAATTTTGTAATAAATTTTATTAAAATGAAAAGAAATAATTTAACTTTAAAGATATTAATATTGCTGAGTAATTAATTCATATTTTATTTAAACAATAATTATTATTAATTTAATAATTTTATAGTTTAAAAAATTGAGATTAAAAAAAATCGCCTTCTGGCTTCTACCTTGGAATATTTAAAACTGTTACGATTAAAATTAAAATTCTGTAAGGTGTAATTAGAAATGCACACACAAGTTTGAATAAAATGACGCAAGCACCCCTCTGACCAACGGCTAGTTCTCCAGATAAGTTAATCCAACGGCTCTATTTTTCTTACCATTTCAAAATATAGCCGTTACACAAGACAATCTTTTCAGTGCTCTTTAAGAATCTCTCGATTCAAAACATCCAGTTACATTCTTTTATTTCTGCTACTTCTCTTTTCACTTCCACTCCAATTTCCATTTTCATTTCCATTTGCATTTGCATTTCATTTACATTTCATTTCAATGCCTTCTTCCAAACACAACACCAAATCTTCAAACCCTAATCGAAGAAGTTCAGAATCCAGTAATCACTTGCGAAGAAGCCTCACCGGAAATCCGTTTTCGAAACCTTCTTCCCTCATGGCAAACCCTAGATCCAGTTTCTCTCACACCCCTGCCAATAGTCCCATAGGTAAATAAATAATCGATTTTGATTTTCATAATTCTGATGATTTTTTGTTGATTTTGTATTATACTGAATTTGGTCATTTTGGTATTGTTATCTGAAGATTTTCCAAGAAAAAGCTTTGATTATGAAAAGGAAAATGTGAAAGATCAGATGCTGAAACCTGGAAAGATTCGATCGCCATCACCAGCTGCTACATCGAAATCGTCCAAGAATTTCATGTCTCCGACGATATCTGCTTCGTTCAAGATCGCGGAGTCTCCTAGAAGGAAGATCCTCGCTGAGAGGAACGAGACTGGTCTTTCATCTGAACATAAAGTTCATGTTCGTAAGGTAACTTTTGCTGATCCTTTAGAGCAGAAAAGGCTTGATGCTTCAATTGATGGAAATGAAAACCGTTTTCCGTGTTTTGAGTGTGATGATAATATGAGTAGTGACAGTTTGTCGGATTACGATGCTGTTTCTTTGATTTCAAAGGATGATTTGTTGTTTGAAAATATGCCTATGCCTATGAATAGTCCTTTGATTCCACAGAATGTGATTCACACTAGTTCCTTGTTTGAACATGTTCCTATAGAGCCTTTGACTCCACAGAATGAGATTCCCACTGATTCGTCTTTTGAAAATGTTTCCATAGAGCCTTTGATTCCACAGAATGAGATTCACACTGAATCCTCATTTAAAAATGTTTCCATGGAGCCTGATTTTGTAAACCTTGATCCTACTTTTAAGCTTAGCCCGCCTGCCGCCACTCCTCCCGTTTCATACACACATACTGTAGTAGATCCTGTTGATGCAGATCCATCAATGCCACCTTATGATCATAAAACTAACTACCTATCCCCTAGGCCACAATTCCTTCACTACAGACCAAAACCACAAATGGAATTAGAGGACAGATTCATCATATCCACAAGCTTTTCAGACTCTGAAGTTACCGAGGATACTCAGTCTGAAGAATCTCTGAAGGAATCTGAGGATGTTTCTTCGGATGAAACAGTGAAGCAAGAAGAGGAACTAATTTCTGAACCAAGTCCTGTTAGGACTCTGTCGACAGAGGAAACTGTTGAAGCAAAGGACTTGCCGAAGTCGCGTTTCTCCTTGAGATCCAAGGCTGTTGCTCTAATTTTGCTGCTGTCAATTGCTTTTGTATCAATCTCAGTCACAAATTCTCCAGGGGTTGATCATGCTGTGCTTGGAGAATTTTATGAGGCTTATAAATTGTGTGAACTTTCAGAGTTTGCACGGGCTAACTTTGACGAATTCTCCCAGTTTTCAAAAGCAAATTATGACGGTTTAGCTCGAAATTTGCATATTTGGTTTACTAAGTCACTGTCTTCAATAACCGAGTTGATTTCAGATGTTAGAGGAGCACGCAATTTGGTCCAGTTGCAGTATTTTAACTTGACTATGCTTAACGACTATAGTGTAGTTAATCAGTATCCTACCTGTGGATGCCGCAAAAATGAAATAGGTATCACTCACCCTCATGGTCAAGAACAACCAGTTGCCTCAGAGATTGCTGTGGATGCTATTTCAGAAAAACATTATGATGTATATGAAGAACAACTTCACCATGGTATAGAAATGGCCACTGGATTTGAAAATGCTTTGGATGCTCCTGAATCTGAGGAAGTTCACAATGGGCAACCAGCCACTATTTTTGAATCAGAAGAGCAGGCCTTGCAACTATCTGAAATTGAACATTTAGATGCAAAGTTGGCTCAAGAAGTTGATGTTGAAGATGTGTCTAATTCCGAGGAAGCACTTGAGGAAGCATTCAAGGCCCAATCTGTCACTTTGGTGGAACCAGAGCAGGCATTTCAGCTGGTAGAAGCAGCAAAGGAAGAAAACCAAACACCAAGTGATGCAGAGTTGGCTTATGTAGTGGATATTGAAGATGCTCCAGATTCCGAGGAAGCATTCAAATCTGTCATTTTGGAGGAAAATCAAACACCAAGAGACGTTGATGGTGATAGCGAATATAAGCCAAATTCAAATTCGGAGGCTGCTGAAATCCATACTGAAGATGTGTATGGAGAAGGCAATGTAGAAAGCGATGCTAAACTAAATGGCGAAGAAAGGGTTGCAGATCTCAAGCACTCCCCAGTTTCAAATTCAGAAGCTGCTGAAATTCAGACGGATGATAAAGAAGTGGGAGAATCAGCAAGCTCGGATGCTGCAATTAGTAGAAATGAAGAGCTATTAGAAGCTTCTCAGATTCCTCAAAACACGGTGCTATACCTACTGCTTTGTGCAGGTACAATTGTTATTGCAGGTGCAACTCTTAACTGGTCAAGGAAAGTAAAAAGCAGAAGCAATGAACCTAAGATTGAATCTGAGAACAATCAGATTTCCCCGGATAGAAAACCGTCTCTGAGGAATGCACCAGTAGAAATGGACGTTGTTGGAGAATCAAGCCCTTCAGAAATGGTTGGAGAATCATGCCCTTCAGAAATGAGCAGCTTTGAGAAGAACTCATCCTCCAGAGTTAGTCAACTAAATGAAGCTGCCAGCATTGATAAAAAGCGCAGGAATAATTACAGGAGAGAGTCTTTGGTTTCTTCAGACTCCATGGATTCACCATCCTATGGAAGCCTAACAGTGTTTGAGAAAATTCCAAAGGTGAGTGTTGTTTGTCCACTGCTGTTAATGTTGATTGAACATTATCATCACATTATCATTGTTAACTGTTACCATCACATGTGAATTGTTTCTCAAATGTTTCATCATATTGTATTTACAGGGACGTGGTGATGACGAAACAGTTACTCCGGTTAGGCGTTCGAGTAGGATCAGGAGCCTTGCCACTTCTCCTGTATAAGCTTTTGTTACTGGCTCTCCTTTATAGTCTAACCTGCATAACTTTGCACCCATGCAATGTGAATGTGTTTCTATTTTCGATTGACAGAAGTGTCTTGTCTTCTGAATCTTCTAGTTCTACTTTGACTTCGTAGCTTTGAATGAGTGATTGTTGCTTATAAAATTATTGAATATCACACTCCCCTACAAAATTCTGAACTTTAATTTATATATTTATAACTGTTGTTATGATTAATGAATTTGGTTAATGTCAACTTTTACATAAGAACTTCCCACTTTCACCTATTGCCAAATCAATCAATTAACGAAACATCCATCTTTATATTCCATCTTTCGTATTCATGGACATGAACACGCGTGGCACTTGTGTTGATGATGAATATGTGAAATTTGCCGACCTTCTCCAAGTTGGAGAGGAATTTTTTCAAAATAAGCAAAGAGATATATTAAAAAGATATGTCTCTTTATTTTTTGTAAAAAACTTACAAAGAAAAATATTATCTAATAGGTTTTTTATAAAAATTTCAAAAAAACAATCACTAAAATTATTTGAAGACAAACAAGTCTCTCAAAAAAACCAGTCTGTTTATTTTTTTATAAAAACTTATTTAAAAAAAGCTGTAAATAAAAAATAGATTTAAATAGTTATTCTCAAACAAATAATTTTTTAATAAAATTAAAAAAAAAAAACACTTAAATTATTTGAAGCTATTTTAAATAGATTTTTATAAAAATTATTTTTAAGTATTTTAAAAAAATTATGATTTGATTATGTTTTTAATCTTAAATAATATATATTTTTATATTTTATGTTACCAGATGTCAAGATTAATTAATATTTCAATTTATAAAATAAGAATTAAAAAAATATAACATTTTAAAAATATTCTTATAAAAAACATTTTTAAAAATTAAAAAATTAGATTTTTAAAACAAATGGTCCCCTAACCTATTTCTAATAAAGTCATCTCTAATAATACGACTTCATTCTATAATAAAGTCATCTCTAATAATGCGATTTCATTCTATAAATTAGAGCCAATAGACAAATATGAGAAGAAGAAAGAAATATATTTATTTTGTCAAATAAATTTATTCCTAATCAAGTCATCTCTAATAGTATAGTCACTGATAGACAAATATAAAAAAATAATATTTGTTTTGTTAAGTTTATGCAGTTTAACCATTAATTAGAGTAAGTGGTAGACAAATATGAAAAAGAGAAGTTATATGTTCTCTAGAAAGACATCATCTATTCTTAATCATGTCATCTCTTAATAGAGGGACTTCATTCCATCAAACAGAGTCAATGATAGACAAATATGGTAAACAAAAAAAAATAGTGTATCCATTAGTAAGATGGTGTATTTGTAGTAGAATATTTTCATATCGGAAGTCTTTTCTTTATATAGTGTGATATTTGTAAAAAGACTATTAAGAGCGGAGGGATTATAAATCATCGGTGAGAGGCGACTCTCCATTTGCTGTCCAAAATTAAGGACCACCTCGTCATGAACGTTTCCTACTCGCTTAGTTATGAAAAATGGGAAAAGACGTTTTTCGATTAGAGAGAAGTTAAGGTCAACAAGTTAATTCATATCTTTTTAGAAAACAACGATTCAACGGTCCATCACTGATTAAGTGGGCGGTTATCATTCTCAAGAAAACTCTAACTCCAGGCCCTAGAGTCTCTATAAATATCCCATTTCTAGAGATGAGAGGAAACAATTAAGCGTAACGGGTACAACTCAGTTACACACAAAATAACACCAAAAGATAAAGAGTTTCTCACCTCACATAAGTTTTCTCTCTATAGCCAAAATCACCATCGAACAAAGTTTTTCACCGTCGTGAGCAAGTCCTAACCACCAGAAAAATATTAAGGCCTCTGGTCACCCCTACCAACATAATGGTGCCACACATTCTGTACTTTTTGACAAATATAATGGTGTCCATTGTGGGGCCCTGGTAAAACTAACATGGGCGACACCTTCATCGTCACTGTCATTTTCACCACTTTCCCTTGGAAGTGGATAATAAAAATCCAAACTCTGTGGTTAACATCATAGTCAAGGGTTTCGTCGTCGTCGGAGGTTCCAACTTCTCTCGGAGGAAATATGTTAGGGAGGTGTTGACTGCAAACATAATATTTCTAGAATTCTCCAAAGCGAACTAGAGAGAACCAAGGGGTCAGTATCACTTTCTCTAGCAATGACGCTATTAGAACCTTCTGTCACTATAATGACCCCATGCTTGTGCAACACAGAAATTGAGATATCAAGCGAGTCTTGATAGACCCCAGAAGCTCTGTTAGTATCTTATTTTGGAACACTTTGCAGAAACTCCAGCTTGATCCTAGCAGCATCAAGGCGTTTCAGGGTTCTTTAGTAAGTTTGTCAAGCGAACAAGTGCAAGTAAGGGATATCTTAGAGACAACATACGATGTGGGATCAGACTCCAAGGCGATTAAGGTCAACTACCTCGTAGTGGACGCTTTGTCACCATATAATGTCATCATTGGTAGACCTGCCATCAACGTGTTTAGGGAGATTATACCCATCCCATACCTATACCTAAAATACCCACTACCCAATGGGTGAGTCGAGAATGTACGAGAAGGCCAGCAAAGCACCCAAGGGTGTTACCTAAGCAGCATGTCGATTGGAAGGGAATAGATCTCCCTTGAGGCCATCCCACTTCTGTAATGTCCTGATATGCTTTCAGGATTACCGACTGACCCTACAAACTAACACGACTTTTTTTAGCATACTTTATCCTCACTCACATTCTTTTCAGGAAACTTCTGAGAAGGTCACTCATCCAAATACTACTACAAGTCAAGCTTGCTTAACTATGGAGTTCTTATTTGTTAGGCTACCGAAAAGAAGATTCATCTTGTTGGTATAAGTAGTACCAATCAATCCTTATAATACTTCCTTCAACCATGTAATCCCATACATGCACAACTTCACGATCTCTCTCTTTCCGATGTGAATTCGTTTTTGCCTAGGAACTGCCAAGAGCTGCTCATCGTCATGCCTCGTGCACTGACAACCACTCCCCGCCTTCGTCGACCTCGGGTGTTACATGCCCACCAGCTTTTGCTTGGTTTGTCCCCAAACCATATTGAAAAAGGTATACACTGATGCCATTTGTAATTCCCCAAACTACTTTCAAGATTATTCACTGGCCCCAAAAACCAAGACGAGCATTTTCAATATGCTTTGTCCTTACTCACACGTTTTCTAAAAAACTATCTAGAAGGTCACCCATCCAAATACTACTCCAACTCAAGCACGCTTAACTATATTGTTCTTATTTGTTAGGCTACCAAAAAGAAGATACATCTTGTTGGTATAGGTAGTACCAATCAATCATTATAAGCCTTCATTCAACCATGCAGCCCCATACCTGCACAACCTTAGGATCCCTCTCATTTCAATGTGAATTATGTTTTTGCCTAGAAGCTGCCATGAGCCGCTCATTGTCATTCATCGTGCATCGACAACCACTCCTCGCCCTCGTCATCCTCGAATGTTACAACTATCCGTAGAGCTGGGTGCGAACACTGGTAGTTGGGATCCCAGACTGGATGTGGACAATGATAAGCTCATGCCTGCAAAGGAATTGAAGGAAATACCAATAGGTCCTTTGGATATTTGACACAAGAATTTTAGAAAAGATTGAAAGGTTTGTGAAAATAGAACAATGAATCAAACTTGAGGAGGGACTGAAGATGATGGATGGTATAAATAAACAAAAGGATATGTAACGAATTGAGAAGATTAAATTACTTCAGAGTAATTAACCTCGAGACACGCAAGAAATTTAATGCTTGATCTGGAAGGAAGGAGAACAGACGACGTCACAACTTCCAAGGAAAAAGTTATGGAAAGTTAGGACACAGATTTAGGGTAGGTCGTGCAAGGAAAATCTTTGAAATTGACAGCCGATTATCTTATCCTATCTTTTCAGTCATAAGAGATAAAAGTAAAATAAGAGATATTTTTCATCTATTCTCAAGACATTTAATTTCTCCAAGATTGATATTCTTAAGAATGAGAATACACATCCTTATTGATTTAAACATTTCTTGTCAAGATTACTTCTAACTGGTAAAAGTATATGTACGTACTTTGTCAAAAAAAAATATATACATACTGACCTGATGTATTTTGCCTATGACGAGATCACCTTCATCGCTAAACTTGTTTCTGATCATCCATTTGGTTGCAATGACGTAAGTCACCTTTTAATCAGATACTAGGTCTAAAACGTCCTTCTTGTAGAGCTAATTTGATTCTTCTTGAATTGTCAGCTTCCATTCATTTTCCTCAACTGATTCATCAATTGTTGTAGACTCTATCACGGACATCAAACCTAGACGTATCTTTTCATAATGTGATAGTCTTTGCAGGATCCTCTTCATAGGAGTTTGATCATTAGAAGCTTCTGATTGAACATCTTCTTATCTTCTTACTTCTTGTACTTCAGCAACAAATATATTACCTTCAGATTCTGAAAGGTAATCTTTACACCTGCAAGCTTATCAACTATCTTTGACTTTTCAGAGTCAAGCTTATCATCAAATCTAACATGAATTGATTCCTCAAGAGAGATCATTTCAGTGTTATATAATATGTAGCATTTTGAGTGTCTAGAACAACCTAACACGATACAACTTTGAGATTTGAATCAAACTTGTTCATATTTTCATCAGTGTTTAGGATAAAACAAGAGCCTCCAAACTAATGAAAATATGAAATGTTGGATTTCTTGTTCTTCCACAATTCATAAGGAGTCATCCCACGAATAGGTCTTATGGAGACTCTATTCAAGATATAACACGATGTGTTTACAGCTTCTGTCCAGAAGTGCTTTGCCATATTGGTTTCATTGATCATGGTCCTAGCCATTTTTTGCAAAGTCTTATTCTTCCTCTCAACAACTCCATTTTGTTGTGGAGTTCTCGAACAGGAGAAATCATGGAAATCTCATTCT